GGCACCAAAATCTGCATTAGTTTGCTAAAGCTTCCACAAGAAGATGCCAGATGCTGGGGGTCTTAAACAGTACAAATGGTTTTTGCTCACAGTTCTGGGAGCTGGAATTTGAAGATCAAGTTGCAAGTAGGTTTGCATTCTTCCTTGGCTTGCAGATAGGATGTCCCTTCTGTGTCCTCCCATAGTCTACCCTTTGTGACCTGAATATCTGTGGGATGCTTTGTGTCCCCAGGTTTCCTCTTCCAGGAGGAACACCAGTGCTCTTAGGTTGGGACCCACCTTTAAGGCCCCCTTTTAATTTAATCACCTTTTGAAGGAACTGTCTTCAAATGCGCAGTCACACTCTGAGGGATTGTGTTCGGGTTTTACATGTGAATTTAAGGAGGACATAGTTCAGTCCAAAACACTCTTGGCAGCTGAAATTAACCTAAGGATGAAGCTTAAGAAATGATGACTCAGGAAGTAGCATGACCTGAGCCACCCCATTCCACACTACTGTGCGTTGCCCTACACAAGGCCTGGCAAGCTCACGACTTTAAAGCTTTGTTGTCCTGATTTCTGGGCAGGAGGTCAGAAGGGCCATGTGGACGGGCGGTTGCCATGGTAGGTGGTAGGTGGAAAGCTAATGGGCTCTGGCTCTCAGGCCTCTTGGCAGATGCACCATGGCAGGGGAAACTGCTAAATTGCCTGTGAATCCACTGGCACTTCAATACTATGTCTAAGTCTGGAAACAAAAGAACAGAGACTCTGTGATCATATTCATGGAACAAAATATGGACTGAGGAATCACCAGATGATAAAGTACAGTAGGTGAAGGCAGAATTTTCTTAAAATACCTAGAATCCACAGAAGCTGAACTTCTTATGCACTGGTCCCTTTCTCCCCTCATGCCCATAGCGCACCATTCTGTTCATCAGGGATGCTTTCTTTGAGGGATGCTTGTGTCTGGGCTGCAGGATTGCTAACGGGACTAACACATATTAAGAAATTTGTTCTTCTAGTTTTTAGACTGATTTTAGCCTATTTTATGAGACAAACTGGCATCTAAATGTGAACATTAACTTTTTAAAGACTAATACTGATTTACTGGTTCATCATTTATCATTTCTGGTAAGACAAAGTAATTACTACCTACTGTGCTCCATGTCTCACACTATGTGCTACTAATGTTATAATGAAGTCACCTTGCCTTTTCTAAGGGCTCCAAGTCCAATTTAAAATATATTCCTTTCCTAGAAATACCTACCTTCTTACTTAAAGGCACCTAAAATATAGTACAGTTCCTTGGGCTCAACATCTTCCTTTCTCTTGTTTGATTTCAGTTCATCATTATGGTAGGCTGCATGCTGGCCCCCAGAATGTGCACACCCTTATCCACAGAACTTTTTGATGGCTCTGTAGCATGGCCAACAGGGATCAAAGATATGACTCAAAGATCTTGAGATAGGAATATTATCCTGGGTAATCTGCCTGGTCTTGCAGTAATCACAATAGTTGTTTTTGTTTTTTAAAAAAATTAATAAAGGAAAAAACAGAAGAAGACAACATAAGGATGGAAACAGCAACTGTGGTGATGCATTTTGAAGGAGGAAGAGCCTCCGGCCAAGTAGGTCACCACTAGAAAAACCAGCTGAATCAGGCAAGGGAGGATTCCCCTCAGAACCACAGAAGGACCCAGCCAACTGACACTTTGAGTTTAACTTAGAAAGGTTGATGTTGAATTTCAGACCTGTAGAACTGTTGGAAAATAAATCTCTGTTGGTTTAACCTACTAAGCTTGTGGCAATTTGTAAAGCAGAAATTGAAAACTAGTATAATAACACTGTCAATCATCAAACAATTTCAGAATCTTATATGGGCATTCTTCCTTACCATCTGCTGCCAAGTACAATCTTCACTAATGTCTACTAATTAATCTCCCTTGGTTATTCCTAATCTTTCCTCCTGTGAATTCATCTTAGTTGAAAGATACCATTAGTGGAAACTCATCAGGGTTTACTGACACATTATTGTTATTTTCTAAAAGGTATGTCTGTTTTTCAGCCTCTGATAAACTTTTTCCAGATTTCTAAAATATTCTCATAAAAATCAAATGGAAGCATTTTTTTCGGCATAAAATCCTGGAATACCATATAAATTTCTTTCACAGATGCCAAGCTTCTATCATACTTCATGAAACAAAATATACCCTTTTATCTGAATCTTCTCAATGAAATGTGTATTTACATTATTCTCTATGTTTCTAAAGCATCTTGAACTTATTTTTGCAAAACCTTTAGTATGTGTCTGTGTAATTTTCTTTTTGTCTTTGTGTTCATCTTTCCTTAGCTTATCAGCTGCTATATCATTTCAGGACTTCACATTACATTGTTATAATACTATACACAAACAGATAAAATTTTTTAAAAGTGACAAAATATAATAACTTCAAAATCCTTCTGGAGGTGGCATCATGAAAATATGCTAATAGGTGAGAAGATAGAGGGAGGAATAGAGAGAGATCTTGCAAATGTGTTTTTAATAAAGAGCAAAGGCATTAGAAACATGAGACATATCTTATGATGCCGGAAAGTATTAGTAGAAACATTTGTGAAGATTTACACACAGAGATGGATATGTCAGGAAAGAGATGGAGAGAGATGGAGATATAAAATGACAGCAACACGTGTAGTGTGTTTACTGTGTGCCAAAATGACCTAAGTGCTTTGATTTTAATACACCCAACAAATTTTGAAGTAGAATTCTTTATCACACACTTTTAAAGTAGTTAAGTAAACTGAACACAGCATTAACACAGCCATGGAGAGATTTGAACTCAGGAAGCCTGGTCCTGGAGCCTATTTTCTCACCCAGGCTGCTCTGCCCTCTCAGCCCCAAGGCATGGCACTGCCACTGTGAGTGGTGTTTTTCAGTGACCGGGGCCAAGTTGTGATGACCAGAGAGGCCCATGGTCCTGTTCAGTGCTGGACAAAGATGCCATTGTCCTTAGTTTTCAATCCCAAGGTCTGCCCGTAATTCACTTTAATTCCCAGTTTACAGCTACTGTCTACCTCGGCAATATTTGTAACAAAGCCCAGTAAATTTTAGAGAATGATGATTGTCTTTATTGTCACTGAGTGAGTGGCTATTGATACTGCAAGAGAACTGAGCTACTTTCAGTAGTATGATTAGGAGGGAGATGAAATAGTGGAGAAGACACTCTTGTGTTTAAGGCAGGCACTTTCACAGTGATGCACCACTTTTCATGTGTGTGAGTTTTTGAGGCTCCCTGATCCTTCATCGTGCCATGCAGCGTGAGTCTGTGTTCCTCAAAGTGCAGTTTGCAGTGCATGAGTGGATTACAAGATCAGTTCCAAGGTCCACAATCAGCAATTGAAAAAAACAAAACAGAAAGAATAGGAAGGAACAGAATCGTATAATGTAGTGCAGCATTGCACAGGTGTATGTGCATACATCTTTAACAAAAATTGCACACTTTCAAAAATTATGGCAACCAATTGGAACTCACAGTGTGAAGGAGCCAGTTAGTAGAGTGCACCGAATGTGCCCACTGGAGAGACATGGAATGTTTTATCTTTGCTTCATTAACTTCTCCTTTAATTTTGTGGCCTTGGAGAGTCAATTTTATCAACACTAAGAGGGGAGGGTGCAGTTTATTTTTATATTAACAAAATTAGTGGTTAGTTGTGAAACAAAGCCAGGAATTGTTTTTCCTGTCATGAAGAAAAATATTAAGATTTTCTTTCAAGTTTTAGGCTGTAATTCTGGGTGTTTTACAGAAAAACCATTATCGAGTTTATAGCAAGTTGTACCATCTTAGTAAATATAATATAATTTGCTCTTACCATGCCTTGATTTATTATTAAAAAGAAGGAATGTTGAATTTTTTTAAGAAACAGAGGTACCTTAAACTTCAGTTGGAGGATTTCAAAATGCAGATAGAGAAAAATATTTAGGGAATGTATGACTGTAGGAGCAACAATGCAACTTTCAAGGAAATGTTCAAAATGAAAAATTTAGTTCAAGTCATAAAAATTGAGAAACTTAAAAATATTTTTCTGAAATTAAATATGCAAACTCCAATGAGAATAAAATGTTTGTACTCTTTGCAAATGATAGTTTATAATTTTCAAATTTCAAATGATACTTGAAAACAAAACTTGCTTCATTTAACAAGTCTTTTAATTATTTCTAAGGAAGGAAGAAACATATAAAATTACTGTTATAATGTCTTATTCATCCCACAACTTTTAATGAGAAAATCTTATTACTGCATACTTAGATCCTTATTCTATTGCAAAAGAAAAAAATGGCCACATATGTTTTTTTGAAAATATTATTTCAGTTGATATGGTACACAGTATTTTATTGATAAATGATCTGATGGAAATGAAAACTTGAATTTGCTAGTACACTGTCCCATTGTGTAACTTCTATTTTTAAATTTTATTTTTTGATGATTCATAAAAACTTAAATATTCATGCATGCTGTTTTGGTTCGTGTATGTATTGAGTATTGATGAATTCCACAATAGCGTATCCATCACCTTAAACTGTACTTGTTTCTCTAACTTTTAGAAACATGACTGCTTTACTAATTTAGTCCACTAAGGTGTATCTGCAATACAGCCTGATGAGAGATCTAACATCCCAACTGTGAGGCTTCCAGTTAGAGTCACATGAAAATGTGGTAAAACAGCTATGAGGGATGTGTAATACAAAATTTGATTAAATGTATTTTAGTATTAGATAAGACCGTTGTTGATTAATATGAATAACACTGGAAAATTTTTATGTGAATTATGAGTGAGATTAGCAAATGTGACTGGAAAATTGTCAGAAGCTACTAATAATAGGCTCTTGAAGTCATGTGTTAAACTACCTCAGAACTTTGCTATCCAAGGAAATTTAGCTATGTTTCATGAATGTATTGACAAAATAAGTGAAAGTTCCTATTCTATTAAAGGAAACCACCTAAATATTTTAAAATCTTTTGTCAGATTGACGCTATCATATTCATATTGCATACCATCCTACCAATAATCTGTGATTGTCAAGACTGAAATTGAAATGTTAAGCAGAGGTGAGTAAGAATCAAGGTATAAGTTTTGCTGTTTTTGCTTGTTTTTCTAAAGTAGTCTTATATAGTAAATCATTTCTATAGTATTATTTGTGTTAATAAATATGGCAGAGCTAATAAACGAGAGAAACAATAAGAAAAAAAATCAAAATGCACATCAGCATTTCAGTTATGTCCAAGGAAGAGGGTGAAGTGTCTATTCTTTAATTTACAGAAATTCTCTAGAGTAAACATTGACCTCCCTGAATTCTTCAGGAGACAGTGCTGCGAGTTAGCTCATCCCCACGGTCAAAAGCAGGTCAAGTGAAGGAGCTTAGATATGAAGCCAAGCAAACAGAATTCAGAAACCTGTGTTCCTGGCTTTGATATTACATAAAGGATGCATGGCTAGAAGGACAAAGTTAAAGAAGAGAGACAACTTGGGAGAGTAAATGAGGGTAATGCTGGTGAGGAGTTATTGTGGCCTGAATGAGAGTGTGAGGCGTAAAAATGGTTATAAAATTAATTTCATAATACTGTGGAGGGAGAATGAATCAAGTATGGCTTGTGAACACATTGGATGAGGGAAGTATAGGAAGAAGGTGATTCTTTCTTATGCTTCAGGGTCTTGTCCAATAAATTCTTTTCCATCCCAATGTCTTGAAACTTGCCCTTTATGTTTTCTTTTAGGAGTTTCATATTTTAGGTCTTATCTTTAATCTTTAGTCTGTTTTTTTTTCTTAAATTCTTTTATTGGTACATTTTAGATATACAATACATTTACATTTATCATTGGGTACTTGTACCTGTACATGATGTATCTTGGTTCTTATTTTTTCACCATTCCCTGTGTGCCCTTCACCCCTTCCGCCCTTTCCTATTTACATAGACTTTGTTTCCATTTTTTTCTTTTCTCATAATTTTTCCTTTCCCTTCTTTCCTTTTCCCTTCCCCTCCCACTTTCCTACCCCTTTTCTTCCTATTTAATCTGTTTTGAGTTGATATTTGTAGCTAGTAAGAGATCTATGTTCAGTCTGCTAGATGTGGATATCTAAATTTATTGCAAAGACTATCATTCTCCAGTGTGTTCTTGGCATCTTTGCCAAAAATCAGTTATATGTAGATGCCTGAGTTTACATCTAGGATTTCTGTGTTGTTCCATTGGTCACATGTTGTATTTGGAGATATAAGCTTGAGAGCTATCACTCTATCGATGGTGATAGTTACTAGCATATAGATATCCAGTTTGAAATTACCTAGGGAAGATTATATTGGTGGAAAAGTAAAGAGATCCCAGTCTCTCACCTTATGGTACATCAATATTTTAAAATTAGACAGAGAAGGAAGAATTGCAAAGAAACTAAACAGATAGTGAGCCAGGGATACAACCACAGAGAGATCGAGATCCTAGGAGCGTAGAGAAAAATTAAGAAAAATTCTTTTAAAAGATCAAGATGTTTCAACTGTTCATTAAATGCTTCTAGAGTTTGAGCTGAGGAAAAACAGGTTTGAGAATTTTGTCTTTGGGGGCCCTACAGTTTATTGACAACATTAAACAAAATGCTGTTCTGGACAGATGTTGACAAAAACTTGGTTGTATTGAGTGGAGAAATGGACAGAATCTGAGCAAATGGAGAGAAACATCTCCAGAAGGTTGATAATGACAGGGAGCAGAGAAATGAAGTATAGTTTTGGAGGAGGCTGATAGGTTAAGGGGACAGTGTTTTGTATATGTTTTTACAGAAAAGAAGTATAGTTCATGTTTGAAACTTACAATTCTGAAGCTGGAGAAGGACATTGATCCAAGATCAGCAGTGGGAAATGTCTAGGGCATGGTCCCAGAACATGTTTGTCTTTAGAAAATGGTTGTTGCTACTGTAACTCAGAACTAAGTCTTTTCAATAGTACAGTCATGCAAAAGGTTTGCATTATTCCCAAGCTTCCTTCTAACTTGAATATTTGACAAATTTGTTACTGCTCTCCACCATATACTATCGACAGTTGATGAAGACAGGAGATGTATCCTGAGGCCGTTTACTCTCATATGAAATGTGGAAAATTTGAAGATGAATCTGAAAGATACTTAAGTCTATTTTCTCCAAGGGAATATTTTTATGGGTCATTTATGAAGTCATCCGGATTGTTTTATGTCAGAAAACTGGTATCATTGGTTCTTCAGATTACTATAACTTTTTTGAGGTTTGAGACTGCAGTGTTTCACATTGCTTTTATTGCTTTAATTTTACTTTTACTGCTTTTGCCAACTAACCATAAGATCCTGATGTAATATGGAGGATTAAATAAGAGAATTTTTTAACAGCAATATCATCTTGAAAAATATCCATTTCAGACATAGGTTAACCACCACATTTTTTACCATACCATGGGACTTCAAATGAAATTTCCAGAAAAGAAATTTATAGCAGCCAAGTTAGTAACAATTGTAGAGGGTATTTATTTATGCTGAAATACCTTTTATGTTGTCTTCAATACTCACATAGAAATTAGAAATTAGCTAAGTTGTATTTGTCAAGATAATTTTTTTCTTTTTCATAAAATGCTTATTACTAAAAAATTAAAGAAAATAAACCTACTGCTTTCTTATTACTAGTTTAATGTAAATCTAGATATTGATCTCTTAGTCTCTAAATATTAAATTAGTTTAAATGACTCAAATAGTCAATGTATTTGGACCTAGAATGTGAAAGAGAAGCTAACTAAAGTAAAAATCTTGAGAAAGCTGCTTTGCCTTTCCTCAGTTGTGGAGAAATGATTTATGGAAAGGGAAAACACTTCCAGGGTGCCATGACCAGGAGCTAACCATAGATCCATAGAATAAGGAAGGGCCGGGCACGGGAGAGAGCTGATTGACAGATGCTGTAAAAATTAATGTTTCAATACTGATCAGTATTTTCAGCATGAAAACTGTTTCCCCGAGTGTTATTTTGCCTTATTCCTTGGACTCAGTATAGTATTTTCCTAATCCCCCTGACCTGTTTTGGTTTAGATAATGATTTTAATAACTTCATATTCCTAGGATTTGACAAAGATTACATGACATAACAAGTTTAAATTTGCTGGGCATAGCATTTTTTTACCACCTTATTTCATGTTTTATAAAAAGAAAAATTTCAAAAAAGACCTTAACATAGCTTGATTGGTTTTTCTGCCCATAATTCCATTTGACACTGTTATGAAAAAACATAAAAAATTGTAATCTACTGATCTTACAGTTGAGGAAACTGAGGTCCCAGGAAGGGATGTTGCCTGACCAAGATCACACAGGTCTATTACATGACGTTAAGTTGTTGATTCTGATTCTAATCCTCGAATCCATAATCAAGTCCAAAAGTCAGAGTTACTCTTGACATAAACTTCAGCTTTTTTTAAGTGGTTCTATTTATATTATTTTGTTTCCTGTTTATATCTGTAATACATGTTCCTTGCTAATGGTATGGAAATAGCATTTAAAGTTTTAATATATTGATGCTTATTGCATGTCGAACCCCCCCCCCCATTTTACTATGCAGTGTAATGTAAACATTTCCTCAGGGCTGTGCTTATTACCTAAAAGACCCGCCTATTGTTGTTATCAATATTTTGCTATTTTAAACTGTATTTTACAAAATACACTAAAAATGTAATTGTTGATCCAAAGACTACCATCATTTCTAAGGTGTTTCCTCTCTATTTCCAAACCATACTCTTTAAACTTCTTTTGCTTGCATTTCTGTCAATAGTAGATGAGATTCTTTTCTTCCAGTCAAACAAAACAGGATACCCAGATTACCTCTATATAATTGTAGGATTTATTATTCTATTATTTTCTTTGATATTGACTGTATAAATTAGTAAGTTAATATGCATTTTTCCCACCCAGATATCTCCCAAATATCTCCATTTCTCTTGATAATACTGTATTTTCTATTTATAGTTTTTAATTGCAATTATTATATTTGAAATACTCATTAAAAAGTTTGTTTTGGTCTTGTGTGAAGCTGAAAGACAATGTTAAAAGAAACCATAAAGATTAATTCTGTTTAACAGATTTCCAGATTCACTGTCTCCCCTTTTAAATCCAACTGTCTAGTTTTTGAGTTTTTAATTTATTCTTCTACACTTGATCTTAGCCAGAAGGGTGAGAAGTGATAATTTGTTCTTCTGCTTGGGTGAAAAATGTTGAATAGTTCAGGAGAATTTGCATCTGAGAGAATAGCCTTCTATTGCTCTTATTCTCAAGTGATCAAGAACAAGATGGGTATTTAGTTCTTGGACCATAGTTTTTGTTTTTGTTTTTTCTCAAAAAGAGTTTTCACTTTCATTATTTTCTATTATTTGGTTATGAAGAAGTCAAAATTTTAAGTCAGTGAAGTTTAATTTAGCTCTCTTGAAATTGCCTTCTTTTAGTCCTCACTTTTAGGACTGCAATTCAAGAATTGAAAAATATTGTCCAGATTTAATAATAGTGAATTTTTAAATTTTTTTCATAAATCTACTTGTGTGGTAGTTGTCCAGTCCTGTGTTGAAATGTCAGATTTTTCTTTGAGGAAAGTTATTATCTGTCATTTGTGTGCTAACTGGACTTGCTCTATTTTGCTCTTGTTTTCAGATTTCTTTCTTATGTGATTTGATGTTTCAGATGCCTCTTCCTGTCTCAAATCTTGGCACTCTGAGTCCTAACCTTCTGAATGGAGTTCATGATGAATTCCTTCGGTTTTATATCATACTGAATTTTTTCTGTTTAACTCAGTATCTTTCATTTTATTTGTGGTGTTATCCATGCAGTCCAAACATTTATTCCTTGTGCCTACTTACATGTTTCAAGTAACAACATGATTCTACAAAAACTGTCAAATTATATTATTGCCTGGAACCGGGATATAAAAGGTACAGAAAGGTAACTACCAAAGTATGTTCCTCCAGTTTTTTGACATTTCTTATAGAAAATCTATTGCTGTTCTATTGATGGTCGCTTACTTTCCTATCCTTTCCCACAACTTCACTGATTTTCCTGTTTGCTCTCT